CTGTCCTCCATTGAATGGGGTAAGAAAATTTGGCTCTGGAGACAAAACACTGGACATCAAATGAAACATTCCCACATGTCTTCTGTCACTGTGATACTCAACTGAGTGGGGCTATTATCCAATGAATCTATTTTAAATAGATTTAAATAGACTCATTAAAACTATCAAAGTGCCAGAAGATGACTGATATTAAGGTAAATTCAACAGTTCTAGATTTAGAAGAGGCCTTAGGACCAGACTTAGTAATTCTTGGACAATACGACCTGACCTCGAGAGGTTACCATACCCTTTGAAAATAGATCCTCTGCCTTCTGAAGAGCCAGGGCTGGCAAGATTTAAGAAATATCAGAGAGTATGTCAGAATTTGGCTCAGGAAGGTTATAGGAGCCCTAGAATGATGAGACCCTGCGTTGTCTAAATTGAAAATCAGACCAAGATGTGCTAGCCTGATGAAGAAATTGATGGTACAGGACTCCATCGGATGGAGCAGAGACATAGACATCGAATATATAACAGAAATTAGGCAGTACTCAGAGTAAGTGCTTGAGAAGAACGTAGTGAGAAACAATTGTCTCTTCATTAATTTGTATACAATGTATCATAATGTTCTTTTATTACTTATTTTATAATTGATTTTTATACATATGATGTTTATTTCTTTAGATGTTATATTGTACTTATCAGTTATTTGATTACCCCTATAAAATGTAATATGTGATCAAAATTCCCTAAAAATCTATTTACTATAGAGTTCTGGCTCATTAGCAAAATTAGAGGCCTCAACCAAGCCATGAGTCATACATGGCCAGAAGCTAGCATCTGGAATTCCCATATGGCACACTAGAGACAAACAGAGAATATATGTGTATGCTATGTGGGAGGGAAAGGCCCCATTACAACTAAAAAAGCCTCCTCTGCTAGTTTAACCTTATACACTTTAAAAAACAAAGTGGATGAAGGGCAGCTAGGTGGTGCAGCGGACAAAGCCCTGGCCCTTAAGTCAGGAGGACCTGAGTTCAAATTCAGCCTCAGACCAAACACTTGACACGTACTAGCTGTGTGACCTTGGGCAAGTCACTTAACCCTGATTGCCTCACCCCCCCAAAAAAGGGGGGGGGAAGCCAAAGTGGATGAAAAATGCATCTTATCCTATGACATGTAACTAGATGAGCATCTTGTCAATTCAGTGCGTCAGCACAACTATTTGTGACAAGAACTTCAGATGGAAAATAACCTGTCCCCAGAATTGAATAGGAGGAGATTTAGCTGGAATTCATTTTGGTAGTTATGCAGCATTTTCAAGAATTTCCTAGCTTCTCTTTGCTGCCAAAGCCCACCTTTTCAACACCAATATTTTCCAATAATACTATATAGCTGCCATGTGGCTTGGTGGATACAGAGTTAGTTTCAGAATCAGGAAAAACTGGGTTCAAGTCCTTCTCCTAACACATACAGGCTATGTGTAACTGTGGACAAATCATTTAACCTTTCATTGACCCCATGCAGCTCTCAAAGACCATAAAATACAGAAGAGTTACTGATCTGTATTGGTAGAAGGAATTTCCCTTCTGGAAGTTCCCCATGCCAATTACCAGTGAGATCAAGGTCTAGTCAAAAATAAACTGTGTAGTCAGAAATCAGTGGAACCCCATAATCTCCAAAGGATGGCAACTGGAGGTGATCCAAAATGTCATGAGAAATTGTGTGATAGATATGCGTAAGCGCCAGCATACGTTGATGCCTACAGCTCCAGTAGGGATCTGAAAGTCTAATCCTGGAGGTGAGCCAATTGTATAGTCTGTGAAGAGGAGCAGCACCGATATCCCAAGACTATGAACAGAAATAGAACAGCCACTGCCCCACCCCACCCTCCAGCAGCACCTTGGGTAAATTATCTACAGGGGATTGATGAAGCCAGCACTAATGAGAGCACAGAGCTCACAAGTATCAGAGCCTCCCAGGGCCTGTTCAAGGCCTTTGACCCAAACCAGGGGTGGGGATGGGCTGTCCAGAGGGCAGGGGCCCAGAAAGGCTGGTCTGTTATAACTTTGGAAGATTTTTCCACTTCTCCGAGTTGTGAGAAACCCTGCTCTCCATCCCAATTCCTCACCCCAGCCAGCTGACACAGGCTCCCAGATAGTGCCTTGTCTCCAGAGCCCTCAATCCCGGCTTTGCCCATCTTTCTGTCTCACACTCCTTGGAGAGACACCTTCATCAGGGCCAGTGCCACACGGGAGCAAACACAGGCTCAGGCCTGTAGCTTCTGCGTCCTGAGGAATTCCATTCAATCCAACAGCAAACACTTACCGTGCATCTGCTGTGTAGACATCTTTCTCCTAAGGGAGTCACTGTGACTCTTTCCGTCTTCCCCCCCAAACAAATGCTCAGCAAGACCTGCAGTTTCTACCTTTCCACCCCTCTTATCTGAAATGCAGCCAGCTACTCCATCTTAGAATTCAGGCTTAGATGTCTTTGGTGCGGAAACAAACTTCCTTCCCTGGTACAGACTGGCACCTTCTCCATGGTGGGAGATGAGAGGCTATGACTAGTTCCAGGATCACACAGCCAGTACACAGGAGAAGCTAGACTGAAATCTAGGTTTTCCTTGCATCAATCTGGCCTAGATTTTTTTTTGGCTTGTTTTTAAACATTTTTATTTGTAATTTTTTGTTTTTTCAATTAAGCATTTATTTTCCCTCCCACTTACCCCCATCTCCCACTGAGGAAACTTTGTAAACATAGTCAAGCATATTATCCAGCCTGCTTTGTTGCAATAGCCTTCTAATTGGTTTTTCTGCTTCTAGCTTTTCCCCCTTCTAATCTCTCCTCCACATAGTTGCCAAATTAATGTGTCTAATAAAACATGAGTCTGTCACTTCCCTGCTGAAAAATCTTCACTGGCTCCCTATTGCCTCTAGGACAACATTCAAAGGCCTCAACCTGGCATTTGAAGTCTTTGCTCCACAAATGAGCTTCCTGCCCACTTCTCCAGACCTTTTTCACATCTCTCTCCTTCCTGTACAGTGTATTCCAGCCAAATGGCCGACCTATTTGCTGTTCCTTGAATGTGACATTCCACTTCTGATCTTTGCACTGCCTGTCCCGCTAGCCTGGAATGCACTCTCCCTTCAAATCCGCATTCCTCCAAGGCTCAGTTCAAGTACCCCCTCTTACCGGAAGCTTTCTGAAGTCCCTCCCACCTTCCCTTTTTAGCATTTGCTTTCTCCCAATAAAGTTATCTTCCCTTAGTAGAATATGATCCCATTGAGGGCAAAAGTTGTTTTGGTTTGGTTTCTGAATCTCCCCCCCACCCCACCCCAGTCCTTCCAAAGGTGCTTTGTATATAATGGACCTCATTTGGCCTCTCTGTTTCCTCATTTGTAAAAAGGGAGTATTTGTACTTTTTGCCTTACAGGTGAAAAAAAAAAAAAAGGAAAATGCTTTGTAAACTTTAAAACATAAAACACAAATATATTTAAAATTTAAATAATTATAATTAAAAATTTTAATTTAATTTAAAAATGATTATTTAAATATTTAAAATGTAAATGGGAGCTATTTATTACACTTGGTTCCTTTCTTGGTGGAAGTCATGGTCCAGTAGAGGGATTTAAGGCAAACATACTACAATACACAGAAGTACAAAAAGTTATGGGAGGTCTATAGGGAAGGTAATGACTGCCTGGGAGATCTGAGAAGGCATTCTGGATAATCGGGCATTTGACCAGGGCCTTAAACGGTAAGTAAAAATTCACAAAGACAAAAGGAGGAAGCAGGACATCATAGGTGGGAGACCATAAAGGCAGAGATATGCAGTTTGGCTTAGAGCACAGCATCGAGTAGAGTAGCAGGGAAAAAGACTGGAAAAGCAGGGTGGTGCCAGGTTGTGGAGAAATTTGAACCCAGGCAACAGAATTTGAATTTTATTTGGCAGAAGGTAGGGAACCATTTCAGATATTTTTTTTAGCAGAGTTGTCACTTAAAAAACCAGATTTCTTTGAGGAAGATGAGCCTGGCAGTGGTGTGAAGGACAGAATGGAGAAGACTGCATGGGGCAAGGTTCCCTAGGCCAACTGCCTGTAACTCGTGTCTCTGCAATCTGGAACCAAGCATACTTCTTCAGTGATTTGTGAAGGAAAATGACCACACTGGCCCTTTCTTTGTGAAGGTGAAGCACTGCATTTGGAGCCAGAGGACCTGGACCAGAGCCCCCAGCTCTACTACTAGCTGCCTGTAAGACCTTTCCCCTCTCCCCTTTGTAAAATGAGAGAGCTGGACTGAATGCCCTCAGAGGTTGCCTTCCCAAGGGCCTCTTGCTGGGGAGAACGAGGAGCTGCTGTTGGGAGAGATGAGGCTTTCAGGAAATAGCCTTGGAAGAAGGTCGGACACACTATTGGCGCCATAAACTAAGAGGAGGCAGGGGTTGTGGTAGTGGACTCTGGGAGGTACAGATGGGTAGGGCCCAGGGCCAAATCAAAGGCTGTGTGGATAGAGACTGCAAGGTCAGTTACACGGAACCTTGGGAAGTTCCCAGACAGCCTTTCAGCAGAGAACAATAAGCAGAGGCTGGACCCCCCACAGTCAGCCCAAGCACAGCATAATTAACCCTTTCCCTACAGCTCAGTTTGGGGACATAGAAAGGAGGGGGGCTCAGGCCAGGGAGGTGCTGGGCACCAGGATGGTGGTCTTGTGACCAGCCATGTCCTCCTCAGTGACCCTGCCCTGGGGTTACCACTTTGTCCTTTGAATTTCTCTGGACTTGGGTAGCAAGCTTATGAGGAAGACAATTTTAGGCTGGTAGTGACCCTAGCACATGAGGCCCTGCCTGAGATAGTCCTGTCCTCCAGGACCCCACAAAGCCGCAGCTATCAGGCAGGCTGAGATAAGCTTGTACTCTCCGCTGAGTACAGGGCTCCTTGGGCCAGTCACTGAGGGTGAAGGGAGGAAGGGGACTCTGGAAAGGTCTAAAAACGAATTTGACCCCCACTGATTAGTCCCACTCAGATAGAAAATAGAACTTTTATTCTAAAATTATAGTTGTAACTGGACTTGGGGTCTGAGTCTGAGGGACACTGTGTAGAATGTCACCTGCTCCCATATGCCCAGGAATTGTCAGCTGTCTTCTCTGTAATCCCCAGCCCAAGGCCTTCTACACAGCCGGTCTCTGGAGAGGTCTGCTGAACTTTGTTCAGTTCTAGGACCAAGAGGATAAGTGACCCGAGGGGGGCCAATAGGGAAGCTTCCCAGGAGGGAAAACAACAGAATCTCTGTCTTTGGTCCTCAGTCTCTATTCCTAAGTTTGGGTCAGGTTGTTTGTTTTTTCTTTTTGGTTGGGGAGAAGGGTTCCAGGGGGGTAGGGGCACTGTGACACCTAAGCCAATTGGTCCGTCCCTGAGAGATGGGAATTGTGCTAGGGACGACACCTCACCCACCGAAGGGAATAAGGCACATGCTGCTCCAGCAGGGATGGAGTTACTTTACTCCTGGGAGGGTAGGGGGTAGAGAAGGGAAGGGCACTCCCAACAAACCCCTCAGGGATCATCAGGGGCTGCACATGTCCACACAGTCCTGGCTCCGGTGGAAGACCTGGTAGATGCTCGTTGTGGGGAACATGGCAAGAGCCCCCATTAGAGAACCTATCTGGATTGCAATGCCTGCTGCCAGCAGCGCAACTCGGCCACCACCATGCAGAAGTGAGCTCACTGCCACCTTCACGTAGGAGAAGGTGCCCAGGCATAGGACCCAGGACAGCACCTGGAAGAGGTTAGGAGGAAGCAGAAGGATTGAGGATAAGGGGCCCAGCCAGGAAGACATACCACTTCCCTGTTCCCAGATATACATCAGTTTCCCCAGCCTAGGGCAGTCATTCACTTACCACAAGGACTACACCTGCAGAGGTGCCCACTAGGGGGGGACAGGGGCTCAGGGCTGCCAACACCATCACATAGGTCCCCAAAAAGGTACCCAGCAGTGAAAGGACACCCAGAACAGGCAGTGACCTGAGGGAAGAAAGAGTTGCCAATCAGGGGGTCTGAGAAGCAGGGACCCCCACCTTCTTCTGTGTCCCCATCTAGATCTTTGCCCATTTCACCCTCCTTGGGCTGCCATCCCTGGGCTTTCCCCCAGTGAGCTCCCTCTCTGGGATCTACTATCACCTGTAGAGGACAGCCATGGCCAGGAAGCAGGCAAGGGGACTGGAGGCACTTCCTAACACCACAGCCAGGTGGTAGGCCCGGCGCCCATAGGGCAGGCAGGAATAGCTCTGTACAGAAGGCAGTACCCCGTTGGTCAGGGCATTTGTGGCCCCCAGCAGCCCCAGCAAGCAGGCTCCTCTGACTGAACACAGCTCCAGTGGAGCCTGGGTTCTTTTCTCTGACTCTGGCTCAGGTGTCCCAATCTCCTCTCCTGGCTCCCGAAGTGGTGACGCCTCTTCCTCTGGGATGGCTTCCTGCCCCTGCCCTTCATTCCTAGGGGTAACTGTGGTGTGTGCAGATGGCAGCAAGAGCAGCAGTCCCTGGAAGGCTGCTGCTGAGATAGCAAGCAGGCTGGTTATCACCCAGAAGAAGGTGCTGGCTGAAAAGTGCTCCTTAAAGTAGACAGGCACCATGTGGCCTGATGGGGAGATGCCAGGGGAGAGAGAAACATTGGGACCTGATGAGGATTGCAAGGTGGAAACCCCAGAATTGGAAGAGGAGGCTGGTTGGCACTCTAGGTGGCCCACACCTTGGGCCAGAGCCAGCCCACAGGGCAGCAGGGCACTAAGACCCTGACCCAAGAAAAATGAGCGGAGGAAGGATGGGGGCAGATGGGACATGAAGGGAAGGAAAGTGACGTTGGAGGCACAACAGCTCAGGGCCAGTGCAAAGGCTAATGCTAGGAAGGCCACAGCATGGTGCTGCCCTGCCATAGGTACCACATGGGACCACAGAGGAGCCAGCAGTGCCATGCCCACCACACCCAGAGCCTGCACTGCCCGGATTGGGCCCAGTTCACCCTTTGACAGGCGACCCCACAGTGTTACAGCCAGGGGTCCCAGGTTTCCAAAGGCTACCAGCACTGACAGGTAGGAGGGAAGGTTCCACCCTGCAAACAAGAGGAGGTAGGCCTGAGGGTCAGCTCTCCCATCCCTAATCCTTCACTACCAGTCCCCACATCTGGCCCAAGGCCCAACCTCTATTTCTATCCCCTAGCCTCCAATCCTAAACCTTGGCCCCAGGCCCTTTTCTCCTCCTCACTCACCTTCAGGTAGGTCCTTTACCAGGACTGGCAACTCTACCCAGATCCCATTGATGGCAATCCAGGAACCCATGGCAAAGAGAGCCACCAGGATGTGTGTGAATACTGTGTGGCCACTGGGGGCTGCCATCCCAGCTGGCCTGAAGGGAAAAGAAATATCATAGTGATATATGGAAGCTTAGAGGTAGAGACTATTTCTGGAGGCTTGTGAGATAGATTGATAGGGAAATAAGGAAGGACAAAGACACCAGACAGCCTCTATACCACTCCCTCCCACCCCACCCAGTACCTTCGGGTCCTGAGGCTTCAGGGGCCACCTGGACTACGGCTGGGTTTGGCTGGTTCTTGGGTCTCTAGGACTACAGATAGGGGAGAGGTCAACCTAACCAGTGCAGGGCCTGAAGGCAGGACCCAAGGTTCAATTCCACTGGGGGGAGGAAAAGGAAGAGGAGGAGAAGGAAAGCTTCCAGCTCAGCTGGCCCATGGCCAAGGACCTCCCTGGTACTCTGAGGAAGGATGAGGATCTAGGACTCTGATAGCAAGGAAAGCTATGGTGGAATTGGAGGGAGGCTTGAAGCCAGGGTTGGAATGGGGGAAAGAGGGCAAGGACGGGGCATTGGTCTGCAGGGATGGGGAGCCAGGTCATCTCTGAAGGGGCACCAGGTTCCCCATGGGGGCTCAGGGAAGCCAAGCATAAAAGGAATAAAGGCTGCAGGGGTAAAACAGTATTGGGGGTAAGGGTCTGGGGCGGGGGCGGGGAGAGGAGGAAGGAAGGAAGAAGGGTTTTCAACAGTAGTGCACCGGCAGAAAGGAGCACAAATCCTGGATAAGAGTAATTTCCCAGAGCCGACTCCACTCTGGGATTAGGCATTTTCCGAGCAGCGGTGGCGCCTGGCACCGCCGGGAGACGCCTCCCACCCCTCCATTACAGTCGGGGAAATTGAGGCAGGGCACGTGGAAGCCACTCCTCCTGCGAGGCAGACCCGCGGCGTCCAGCGCCAAGAGCTAGCTACAGTCGGGGCCCGGGGCATCTAGCGCTCATCTCACCAGGACCCCAGGGTCGCGGGACCCCGGGCCGGGCGCGTGCAGCAGGTGTCACGCTCCGTGCAAGCGAAGCGAGGGAAGCGGAGCCCGGCGAGCCGGCCGGCCCCGTACAGCTCAGAGCCAAGCGGACAGGCCGGAGCCGAGGAGAGGGTACAGGGATGGGTGGGGAGAGGGGGGCGCGGGAGCAGATGGGAGGAGTGGAGGAAACTTACGTGCCGCGACTCCGCAGCTGGCTCCCTGGGGCCCCGCCCCTTGCTATCTCCCCGCCCCCGTCGCCGGGCCGGGCCGGCCACTCCCGCGCCGGAAGTCCCGCCCAACGACCACGTGCCCGGAAGTGGCGGCTGAACGCGCGGAAGACCGAAAGTCCAAAAGGAGGGTGAGGGAAAAGACCCGGGCCCGAGTCAGGTGAGAGACCCGACACTGTTCCGTCGATTCACCTTCCCCTGGAACTCCCAGGGAGCCCTGTGGTGCGCTTTGGGAGCCCCCGTGCACCGGCCGCACTCCTCCCTTTCACCTAGCGCTTCCTCCCTCGTAGGGCCCCTCCCCATCGCCAGGGCGCCCTCCTTCCTCAAGAAAGCCCCTCCCCCAACAGAGCCCCTCCCTGTGGCCCCTTCTCCCCCTTCCCCCACACACACTGTCCCTCGGTTTTTGAGACTTAGCCCCTCCTGCCTGTCTGACCTCTCCATCTCATTCATTCCTTCAGCCAGTGGCCGGCATTGTGCTGTACACTAGGAACACCAGAAAAACCCGAACGGGTCGTTGCGCCTAAGGAGCTTGGCTTCCACCGCGGTGAAACAACAGTGTACGCCCACAAGCACATGCAAATGCAGGGTGTCCCAAAATTCTGAGTGCGTTTTTTGTTTTTGTTTTTTCGGTGAGGCATTCGGGGTTAAGTGACTTTCCCAGGGCCACACAGCTAGTCAGTGAGCGCGGTTTTAACCTTTAAAACTGTCCTAGAACTTTTGGAACACAGCGTGTATAGACAAAGTAAATGGGAGGGCACTATCCACCGGGAGAATCCTTTTTGAGATTATCATTCTGGTGCCGCCTCCTATGGGTGGTTGTATTCCAAAGTTTTGTCCTCTACACTCTTTATGTAGGTGATCTTAACAAGTCCTTTGGGTTCATTTATCATCTCTATGTAAAAGACTACCAACATCTACATATCCAGTCCTATTCCTATATCACTTACTGCCTGCAGGAAATTTCTAGCCAGATGTCCGGGAGGCATCATCTCCAAAAGGAGACGTATATTTTCTTTATCTTCAGCTATTCCTTCTTCCTCACCATCATATCCAGTTGGTTGCCAAACCTTATTGATTGAGCCTCCACAATATTGCTTACTTCTGTAAGCTCCACTCAACCTGTTCAGGATCTTAATCAACTCTTGCCTGGACTGTTAAAATAGCTAATTGGTCACCTTGCCTCTAGTATCCTCTCTTTCCAATCTTTCCTCCAAACAGATCAGTATACCTAAAGAACAGGTCTGACCAAGTCACACCTCTGCTTAAGCAACTTAAGTGGCTCCCTGTTGCCTTTGGATAAAATACAAACTTCTCTTTTTGGCATTTAGAGCCCTTCACAGTTGGCACCAACCTAGCTTTCCAGATAATTTCATTTTATCCTCCTTCACACACGCTACATTCCTGACTACTTGGCCTTCTTGTTTTTCTCAACATGGGACATTCCATCATCATTACTCCCTTGTTCATGTCTGGAATGCACTGCTGCTGTACCTTTGACTCTTAGAATCCCTAGCTTCCTTCAAGTTTCAGCTGGAGTGCCACTTCCTACAGGCTTCTATTTCTGATTTCCCCAGTCCTCTTGTTCAGTTATTTTGTATTTACTTTTTATATATTTTATGTTGGTTTATTTGCCTACATCCTTCCTCACCCCTTTATCCCCAGTAGCATGTAAAGAGACTGTTTAGTTTTTGCCCTTAGTATTCCTGGTACATAGTGAGTATCTTTCATATTGTGGGCATTAATAAGTGTTTTATGATTGAATTAGGATCATTTTGGAACTAGTTAGGTGGACAGACTCAAAGAGTAGCTGTTAAGTGTTAAGTATTTGTTCACTTGGAGGATAGTCTGTGAAGGAATGCCCCAGGTGTCTCTTCTTATTAAGGTATGATGTCTCATACTCCACATTTGCAGGTGGTACTGAGTTGGAAGGGACAACTGGGTGACAGTCAGGATCCAGAAAAAGAACTCAATGGTCTAAAACATTGAATTGAATCTAATAAGATGAAATTCAATAAGAATAAATATAAAGTTTTATACTTGGTTTCAAAAAAATTGACTTTGTAAGTATAGAATGGAGTGGGGTATGTTTAGGCATCAGTTTATCTGAAAAAGATTTGGGGGCTTTAGTGTGACTGCAAGTTCAATATGAGTCATTAGTGTGATTTGTGCAAATTCAGTTTTGGGCTTCATTTAGAGAGGCATAATTTCCAAGAATAGCTCAATTGACAAACATTTGTTAAGCACCTGGGCACATTAGCTCACAGTAACCTACTTGCTGTCTTTCATAGCATGACACTCTTGTTTCTCACTTCCATGTCTTTGCTGTGGCTATCTGCCTTGCCTGTATGTACTCCCTCCTTACCTGACTCTTTCTTTCAAGACCCAGCTCTAGCCCCTCTTTCCACATGAAGTGTTTCCTGATCCCACCCGCCAAATCCCAGCGGCAGGTACTGTGCTAAGAACTGGGAATACAAAGACAAACGAAACAATCCTTGCCCTCAGTGAGTTTACATTTTAACAAGGGAGACAACATTTGCCTTTATGAAATATACAGAATGTATATACAACGTAAATACAAGATATTGCGAAGTATAGGTTTGATCTCAGAAGACTTCATACAAAAGGTGCTCTTGAAGGAAAGCAGAGATTCCAAGACACAACGATGAGGAGGGAATGCATTCCAGCCATGAGACACACCCTGGGCAAATGCATCAGAGGAAGACATAGAATGGCACATATTGGAAGCTGCAAGTAAGTCAGGATAGCTGAACTGTGAAGTGGATGGAGAAGAACAATATAATCAGGCTAGAAAGATAGGAAGAAATCCAGTTGTGAAGAGCTTTATTTTTTAAAAATAGATTTTCATTGATATTTTTCATTTTTACATCACCTCCATTTCCCAGTGTATCCCTTTTTCTCTCCTCCCCTCAGAGCCATCATTTGTAACAATTAAAAAGAGTAAAGACATTTACCATAACTAAACCAACACACCAAGAAAGTCAAACATTATTTATAGTATTCCATGCCCATGTTCTCTCACCTCAACCATTTATACTATCACTTTTCTTCATATCTTCAACACTTAGCACAGTGCCTGGCAAGTAGCGTGCACTTAATAAATGCTTGTTGACTAGGAGAGGTCTCATATACTCTAAAATATTTGTAGCAGCACATTTTGTAGTGGGAAACAAAATAGGTGCCCACTGACAGAGGAATGGTTAAGCAAGATGTAGTACAGGAATATATTACTGTGCTGTAAAAAACAGCAAACTTGATGAGTCTAAAGAAGAATTATGTATGAACTGATGATGCAAAGTGAAGTAAGAGGAACTGGGAAGACAGTATATACACAGGCTATAATAATAGAAATGGAAATAATAAAACAACTGGAACTGAATGCTGTGAAGTTATAATGACTAAACTTAGCCCAAAGAGAAAACATGAGAAGGTACCTTCCTCTCTTCTTGGTTGAGGTGAGGGATAAAAGTGGGATACATTGGGAGATGTGTTTCATAGCCTACTCATATTGAACTTGGGAGTCCACAAAAACCCATAGATCTTGTTTATATGAATGGTTGGTTATCCATTCACCTATCTATCCATCTCAGATGTACTCATGCAGTTTTTTTTTTTCAATCCAGTGCAGTGTCAGACTGCATTTATCCCCATTAAATTTCATCTGGTATGATTCATTGAGTTAGACCTTTTTTGAATCTTATTGTTGAATGTCTTAATTATCCCTTCAAACTGTGTGGAGTCAAATCTCACAAGCATACTGTCTCATTCCATCTCAACCTTTTTGAGACTTAGCAAAGTTTTCATTAAAGAGTCAAACAGGCCAATAATACTTAAAAGAATAGGTCTTAATTATGGTACATTTAACTCACACAGGGGAGGTCCTCAGGCCTGAAATGAGACACCAAGGGAGCATAGGACAACAGGGAAAGGATACAATAAGGAGGTCTCCAAACCTCAGGCGTATGGTCTTTATATCATGGGAGGAGTTGGGGGTCACTGTTGGTCCTTCAGAGAGGCTGCCCCTGAACTTGGCATGCCCTCCTTTGCCAGCTCTCCTCTGTTACTCCTCGTTGTGGAAGAGGTAGGTGACATCTGGTCTCCTCCACACCAGGGCAGCTTGACAGTGCAGACATGAATCCTGATAAGAAGGAGGTGGTTCTTGCTTGGGTGTTTCTGAATGTTTTTCCATCTCTGATGTCATAAGCAGAGTGAGGCTAGGGATTGACTGATTATAACCCCGCCTTCCACTGTCTCTGTACAAGCATGGGGCATTGAAGTTTGTAGCAGAAGGTAATGGAAGTCTCCAGGAAAAGGCAAGATAGTGAGGTGTTGAGTAGGAGTAGAGGATGTATTAGAGAAGAAGCGTCCTTTTACAAGTGAGCTTTATGAAACAGAGAATCCCAAAACCAGAGATAATTTTTGAATATTCACATCATACTTACACCTTCACCCAAGTCACTAACAAAAATGTTGAACAACAGAGCCAAAGATGGGATCCTTCTAGGAGAAATCTTTCTTCATTTTGACATTAATACATGAATGACTATTCTTTGAGTCCCTACCCAGGTGTACACTCATTTGTCCCACATCTCTCTATCTTGTTCACAAGGAGAGTAAGAAAGACTTCTTTTGTCAAATGTTTTTTCTAAAATCTATGTATATTCTGTCTATAGCATTCTCTGATTTCCCATCCTAATGTGTATATAATCCAGTACTTCCTTAGGCACAGATCAGACTCTTATCATGCCTTCTGCAGCCTGAGTGAGTCACGTCCTTGAGCTTTAAAAGATCCTCCTCAGATGATCTATTCCAGAGATGTCAGACTCAAACAGAAACACATATTGACTTAGAAAACCACAAATTAACATCATCTCTGTTGTATAGTTTTTATTTTGCTAAGCATTTCCCAATTACATTTTAATCTTGTTCAGGTAGGCCAGAAATTTGACCCCTCTGGTCTACCCACCAGGTCTTCTAGGTCTTTTAATATTCTGTCAATATTAGTGGCATGCAACATTTATGTTATCCATCGGTTGTCAGTCTTTCATGTTACACGTTACAGTTGTTATTTTTATGACACTTGTATACAAGTCATCTTTGGTAATACAGTAACACTGGCATCAGTTAATCAATAAGAATTTATTAGGTGTGCTCTATGCCAAGCACTGTGCTAGGCCCTGGTGATACAAAGACACAAATGGAACAATCCTGGCTCTCTAAGAGCTTCTATTCTATGCAAGAATACAACATACACATATACAAGTACATGGTAAATTAAACACAGGGTAATTTTTAGAGAGAAGGTGCTAGCAGTTAGTGGAATCAGGAACATCTTCATGGAGAAGGTAGAATTCGAGCTGAGTCTCGAAGGAAGTAAGGAATTCTAATGACAAAGGTGAAGAGGAAGAGCACTCCAGCCACTGGAGATGGGTAGAGTGTCATGTAGGAGCAATAGCAACAGGGACCATTTGGCTGGATTGTAGTGTGTCGAAAAGGGAATAATATATAATGAGTCTGGAGAGGTGGGTGAGGGTGTGCTTGTGAAGGACTTTAAGAGGCAAACAGAGGAGTTTACGCTTTATCTTACAAGCAATAGGAAGCAACTGAGCATGAAAATCATGTCGTCGACTTTAGAAAAATCACTTTGGTGGTTGAATGGAAGATGATTTGGAGTGAAAAGAGACTTGAGACTTCTTATTAGTAGGCTATTGTAATGGTCCATGTGAGAAGTAATTAGGGCCTGAACTAAGGTGGGGTGGTGGCTATGTAAATAGAGAGAAGGTGTTGGATGTGAGAGGTGTTATGGAGGCAGAAATGACAGGGTTCAGTTGCTGATTGTATTTGTGGGTTACAGGAAAATGAGGAGTCATCTGGCATGTACCTTTCACCAGTGTAGTGACACTGACCCCACTCTCCAAAAAATGGGTTTAGGCTGGTGTGACAGTGGGGATTTCATGTGAGCTCTTTGTCCTCACCCTTGGAGTTCATACCAAATGCTCTTTTCTTAACACTGACCCTTCTCGTTTCTCTCACAGGATCCCCTAGGGGCACTATTATGATTTGCCCCATCTCTTGAGAATATGGAGGAGGTCCCTGAGGACTCCAGCAATAGGATGGCTTTACCTCTTCAAGAGGACTCCAGTTCATCACAGCAATCACATTTCAAGCCTAGCAAGAGGTCAAGACCCTCAGTTCCAGTTGGGCCCCCCCAGAAGAAAAAGAAGAGAAAAAGTTCATCGAGACGGCCATCTGCAAGGGTTGGTTACCACATTCATGAAGCTGAGGACATGCTGCTGATTGTACCCAATCTGGAAGAGCCAACACCACGGGCCCACAGGAAAAAGGCTTGCCATCTCAGGAAGTTAGCTCGACCAAAGGTCCAACAGCCAAAGTGTCGTCAGCCACGTCGAGTGGAGACCCCAAATGGTGCAGATCTCAGCCGAGTTCCAGGGAGGCAGTCTCCTCCTCAGGAGAGTGCTACTTCAGGGCCGGGCTGGGGAGACCATATTCCTCTGGAGATCTTGGTTCGAATATTCCAAGTGTTAGTGGCATCTGAAGGGGCAGTGCCCTTCCTTTGCAGGTATCCAATCCTTCTCTGAAAGGCTGGGTTAGAAAGATTTTTAAGGGTGAGACTGCAAGAAGGTATTCCAAATAGAGGGAAGAGCATATAGTGCTGTGGACTATGTGGGGCTGGAGAGGTAAGAAAGGAAAGAGGCCAGCTTAGGCTATTTTATTTATTTTAGTGTCCCAAGTGGGAGGTGCTATGGATGAGTGCCTAGATAGCTTAATAGGGAGACAGGAATAGCAGAACCCCTTGTGCCTTACAGGGCTGCCCGTGTGTGCCGCCTGTGGTATGATGCTGCTTCCCAGTCAGTGCTATGGCAGAAAGTGTCTCTGGCCCCACCTTGGCCTTCTCGCTCAAAAGGTCCTCCATCAAAGTTGGAGAAGAAGATTCTCAGTTCTCTAGAGTGGCTGGTGCCCAACAGGTGAGGATAACGTTCCCACTTCATGCAGTGTGTTTTCTGCCTATGTCCTTTGGCCTGGCTGCCTCCTCTGGCATTAGCTTACCCCTAGCTTGAGACTGCCCTTCACAGGGTTGAAATCTCTCCTGCTGAAGGGAGTGGCAAGGGAAAGGATTTCTCCTGGCACCTAGCACCACTCTCTTTTCCGGAAGAATTGCTCCCATGAGTCTTTTTGCTTTACCTGGACTAGAAGAGGTAGAAGGGTTGGAGGGGTGGCTGTCTAGGGTATTTCAGAAGGATGATGGCTCATGCTTTTTTGTGAGGAGGGAATAGCTGAATATGAGATCTTGGAAAGAGATACAGAAAAACACATACCCATTTCTTTGTGGCAGGTTTTTATTCCTCCGGGAGCTCTCTCTATCTCACTGGAAAAACTATGTACCTCTGATGCTGAAGGTAATGAGATTGGGATAGGGGGCTGGGAGGGATATGCTGTCCTTTAACCTTGATGTATTTCTCCTTGAACTGAAAGACAACCTATTCTTGCATCAAATTGCTTTGTAAGTGCTAACATTTCCTATCAACATGCACCTTCCTCACCTAGGCCAGGAGTGCTTAGTGGGCAGGAGCTCTCCCTACTGTTTACTTGCCCTCCCTTCTGGGCAGGATCAAACAGGTCTTCCTAGTATTACCCTCTAAATTCTAGTCCCTGTTGTTAGGGCAAGGAAGATTCAGATCCCTGAACAGAACTCTTCCCTCCACCTAGGTAGCTAGGTGGTGCAGTGGATAGCTCTGGGCCTGGTGTCAGGAAAGCCTGAGTTCAAATCCATCTTCAGACACTTACTAGCTGTATGACTCCAGACAAGTCACTTAACCTCTGTTTGCCTCAGTTTCCTCAACTGTTCAATGGGGCTAATAATAGCACCCACCTCCTAGGGTTGTTGTGAAGATAAAATGAGATAACATTTGTAAAAAGCACATAGCACAGTGCCTGGCACATAGTAAGTGCTATGTAAACCCTATTCCCTTTTCCCTCCTCCTTTCCTCCCTCTTCTATTTTATCTTCCCCTTCCCCACCCTCTCTCCCCCTTCCTTTCTCCACCCATTACTTATTTTCCACTCTGTCCTACAGTTAGGAATGGGGAAAATAGGAACTTCAGGAAAAGAAAAGTGGGCTCCAGCCTTAGTTGAACACCTATAGGTATGGACAACATCACTGCTTCTATCATAGGTCAGCCATATCGTTCCCCTGCTGAAGAAGCTTCAGTGGCTCTCTGTTGCTTCTAGCATCACATACAGACTCTTCTAGTTGGTAGTTATAGCTCTTTACGATCTGGCTTCGAGTTATCTTTCCCAACTGATCAGACATCACTCCCCATCACTCTCTACTTTGTGCTGTAGCTAAGCTGGACTGTTTGCTGTTACCATACGGGACATTACGTCTCCCACCTGCATACCTTTACCTAGGAGTGCCCTGCTTGAAATATTCTGCCTCCTCCCCTGCACTTTGTAGAGTCCCTACCTTTCCATAGAGCACAGTTCCAGGACTCTCCCTCCCCCTCCCCCTTCCCCTTCCAGGAACCTTTCCCAATCCTTCCAGATACTTATACTCTTACTCCCACAAAACAAGCAAAAACAGCAAACTGTGTTGGATGTGTGCTTTGTATGTTGTGGAGGCAGTACGCTCAGCCTTGAAAGAAGAAGGCAAAGATGAGAAGGGAACATATTCCAGATGTGTGGTATGGCCTACGCAAATGCACAAAGATAGAAGACCGCATGTCAATTAGTATTCCCATTTGACTGGATTGTAAAGTATATGAAGGGAAATAATATGAAATTATGGGTGGGAGGGTAGTTGGATGCCTGAGTTAAGAGGGCAGAAGGGGTAAAATTGGATCAGGCACGGCTTCCCTCCCTTGTAGGGCCAGAGGAATGAAGAGGAGTACTAGAGTTGGCCCGTGATGGGGGGGCATCTGTGGGAGGTGGGCTTGGATAACACCAAGGTGCCTTCTGTCCTAATAGGCTGTCAGTGAGTCTTGTCCCCACCTCACATCTCTCAAGCTTTCCCACTGTCAGTCTGTGACAGCAAAGGCCTTGGTTACTCTGCCAAGGGCCTGCCCCCAGCTGGATAGCCTCAATCTGCAGAACTCCCAGGTGAGTGCTCTGTGATCCACCTGTCCATCATGGACTATTACTATTCACCCTCACTCACCCCTAAAAAGTTGCCTAGCAATGATCTGCTCCATGTTTGTTTTCAGGTGGAGTCAGCAGCAGTAGTTGGCTTTCTGGAGGCAGCAGGCAAACAACTCAGGCAGCTGTGGCTAACTTATAGTAGCCAAATGACCTCCATCATCTCCTTGTTGTCGGTGAGCCTCACTTGATGGGGTTGGGAGAAAGGATGGAGCAGGGAATGATAGGGGGCAGGGGAAATAGAGGGAAGGCTGTATTTGGGGAAATAGAGGGAAGGCTGTGTTTAGGGAAATGGGGACTTCCGTGCCTGCCCTTGAGTTGAGCTCTACCCTACTTCCCTACCCTCTAATCCCCATCACCGCCGTCTTCCTGGCAGAATGGATGCTGCCCCCAGCTCCAGCTCCTTGAGGTGGACACAGGGATAAAACCCAATAGTCAACACTTTCAGCTGCACATTGAGGCTCTGCAGACTGGCTGTCCCCGGCTCCAGGTATTCCCATCCCCAGTCATAGATATCCCCTTGTCCCCAGCTGTAGGTATCCTTCAGTCTCAGCTAGAGCTGTTGTTATTTCCCAGCCCCAGGTATCTCTCATTTTCAATTACTTTTATCCCTGGCTGCTGGTACCAGACCCCTAGGGGACTAGTATCACTTTCTATTCTCAGCCTCTGCTATGATATGGTCACACACACCACGCCCCCTACCCCCTCCCTGGTCTCCCTTCACTTCCCAGCTATTGCTCTCCCCATCTCTAGGTCCACTCCATCCACCTTTGTTCCTAGGTGCAGACCCCCCATGCTGCCTTGATTACAAAATAAAGCTGCTTCCTGGTATGTGTCTGTTCCCTCCCTTGCCCTCTGATCTCTCTCCGAGCCTAAAGATCTGACTCTGAGCTCCTACCACTTGGAACATCTGCTGAGCTCTGAGCCTGAGTCCCCTTCCTCCACTCACAGGTCCTACGCTTACTGAACCTGGTTTGGTCTCCCAAGATGGGAGGGCGTGGGGTAGCCCTGGGGCCTGGTTTCCCAGACCTGGAGGAGCTCTGCCTGGCCACGTCCACCATCACCTACGTGAGTGATGAGGTCCTGCATCGCCTGCTGCATGGATCTCCTCACCTTCGAGTGCTGGACCTCCGAGGCTGTGCCCGCCTCACGCCTGCAGGCCTAGCCAGCTTGCCTTGCCCTGGTGAGTACTGGGCCTGTCCTGCCTGTGCCTGCCTGGCCTGGGGCACATGGGGTACTAAGGGGGAAAAAGTGCATGTGGGTGAGGATATGCAGAATGTTGCAGTGTAGAGGAGAGAGTGCTGGGCGTGGATCGACCAAGGTCCAAGTTTAAATCTTGCCTCTGCCATGTATTAGCCATGTGATCATGGGCACATCACTTCCTCTCATCAGATTTCAATCTCTTTAACTGTGAAATGATGACAATAATACCTATTATTAGGTACCACCCTCTCAGGTTTGTGGTGTGGTTTAAGTCAGATAATAAATGTAAAGCAATTTGCAAACTTTAAAGTGCTTTATGAGTGTTAATTATTATTTATAGCAGGGTTAATACTAATTTTATTTTAAGGAAAATACAACATAAGCATAAATAACTCTGATACGCAGTATTGCTGGTCAGTGCATCAGAAAAGTGTAGTATTGTGTGAGATCAGAGGGGGAAGATAATGTCCAACTGTGGAGGAGGAAAAGCTTCCTAGAAAAGGTGGGAGCCTACTAGTACAAGGGATGAGGAAGACTAAGCCAGTGATCTTGGATGGGGTGGGAAAGGTGGAAGTGGGAGGATTCAGGAGCTGGAATGGTCTTTGACCTCAGGGTATAGATAGGGAGTCTAACCTGAGGGTTCAAGTCTAGGTGTCCAGGTTGTACCATGTAGACCTGATCACCCTTCCCCTTCTCTCTCTACTCAGACCTGGAACAGCTACATCTGGGCCTGTATGGTTCAGTAATTTGGGTGGCCCTGCCCAAAGAGGGAAGCCCTTTGCTCACATGGAAGTGGCATCGCACTCTCCAGGAGCTAGACCTGAATGGCCAGTGCTACCGTGAAGAGGATCTGAAGCAGGCCCTGATAGCTTTCTCAAGCACAGAGAGTGGGCACAGCCCCATCCTTCGCTCTCTCAGCCTCAAGGGCACCCAAGTTACCGTGGCAACTATCAGGTCAGGACCTAACTAAGCCTTAAGGTTCTGCATCATCCCCAAGTCTACTCCCTGCCCAGCCTCATCTCGACCCAGATCCTTCCTTCCCTCTCTTCAGATCTATCAACCTATGATTCCCCTCTACCCTCCTCTTTTCCCCCTTTCTGTTACTACTCTCCTTTTTCCCTCCTCTGCGAACTCTCCTCTTCCTGAAAAAACCCTTCTTGTCTGTTTGCCCCAGACATGCCTTTCCTCTGTCCTCCCTGCCTCTGAAATCTGTCTTCCCTTCCCTCAAACCTCCTGCTGTCTTCCTTAGAACCTGCTTTCCTCCCTCTCCCAGTCTTCTTTTACTCTTCTCCCCCAAACCCTCTGTCTTCCTTTCCCTGCAAAGCCTTTGTTCCCTCTCCCCACAAAACCCTTCTTTCCCTCCAGATCTTCCTTCCTCGCTTTATAGGGAGGACTCAGGGAGCACCTCCTTCTCCTGTCGTTTGACCTTAGCTTAGTAACTTTGGAGTAGTTTCTATTTAATATGTAACTATGTAAGCTGTGGGCCTCAGGCATTTACAACTGTATTCTGCCACACCTCTCAGACGGAGGGCTGATAGGTTATGGGACAGAGAACCAGTTCTGATGCTCACTGACTGCCCCCTTTCTATCCTTCCACAGCTCTGTGATCAGCAGCTGCCCTGCTCTCAGCTACCTCAACCTGTCCTCATGCCGATACCTTCCTCGAGGCCTGAAGAAGGCGTACCGAGGACAGGCAGAGATCCAGTGGTGCTTGGACCAGCTCCTTACCGCCACCTAGGACAGAGGCTGAGTTCTTCAGCTGTTTCACTCACTCTCCCTTCATCCCTCCCTGGACTCTTGTTTCTCCCATTTTAAAACAATATTAAAGATTTTGTAAAATTAAAATCCTTTTCTAAAAATAACAAGAAATATATCCATCCTGGGACAGGGAGGAAAAGGTCTGAGGGTGTTGAAGGTGATTTCAAGCCAGATTTCCAGAGATGTCTTAAATTCGTCATCTCTGAAAAAGCCCTGGCATCCATCGTCTTCTGAATGAAGCTTTTCCTGACTTCTCCCATGCAACTGCAAGAGTCCCCCTCCCAAGCGATCTTGTATTTAACTACTTTGTATATATTTGTATTCATTCACTTTATATTTATACTGCCTATATTTTTATATCTATGTGTCTTTCTCATTAGGAAGTAAACTGCTTTTGAGCGGGATTTTTTTCATTCTTTATACTAATATCACCAGTGCTTAGCATGAGAGGCATATAGGTGCCTAATAAATACTTGTTGATTGATTGACTGCTCTTTACCTCGTTCTCTGCATCCATGAAGGACCCAAGTCCTACAGCCCTTCTTTAGCCCATGAGAAATTCTTGACCATTCTGTAAATTCTTCTATCTGTAAATCTTCTATCAAAGGCCTAACAGTCCAACACCCTGGAAACCTTCCACTTGTTCTTTCAACATGAGCATACCAATGTGTGTAGCCTTTGGTCTATCCAAATGTTTATTCTTCATTTTTGTTGAAAGTTGTGTTTGATCCCTTCTGTTTTTACCTCACAATCATTCCCCATGCCCGCACCCCTCTCCTTATAATTAAACCAGTTCAGTAAAGCCAATCAATGTAGCAGCTACGTCTGACAGTTTATGCAACATCCCATCACTTGAGCCCCCTACCTCTCTACAGAATGGGGGGGGAAATGTATTTCAGCATCTGTTTTCCTAGACCAAGAACGATGATGAGATTGGTCACTACAATTAATCAGTCACCTTTTAGAATTGTTTGCATTGACATTGTAGACATTGTATGTTTACTGCATTGGTTCCTCTTCACTCAGTTCATAAAAATTTCCCTGATGCAACTCTGAATTCTTCATGTGCATTTTTTGTGTCTGTGACATTCCTAGGAGTTTTCATTTTGTGCTTTCTGGAAGAGACAGGTGGATTTTTCTATTTTTCTGTTTGCCCTGTTCTAATGTATCAGGGCAGTTTCTGTTTATCATTTCTTGAAATGTGAATTTTAGGTAGTCTGATGAATTTTTATATTATCTCTCTTTGATTTGCATTAGTTGAAACTAGCCACCTCTGCAAGAATTCCTGTGTTTTGGCTTGATTTCCTGGGGGGCTTAATTTAGGTTTGGGCCTCGGTCATTTCTCTGTCTCCTTATGCAGTCCCAAACCCACTGTGGGCTCCATCTCTTGCTGTGATGCTGACAGTCCCCATCCGGATGTTGATTTCACTGGTCACAGACCTCCTACAAGGCCTCCAAAGTTCCGCCCTGGCACTTTGTCCTGCTATAGCATGGGCAAAGGGATGCCTGGGAACTGGTGTGGCACTCTCCCCTTTGTGGCCCAGGCATAAATTGTGTGAGCACTTGTCCAGCCCTTTCTGCCCCTGGGGTCCAGGCTGCTTCCTTGATGTGTCTTCTGCTTGCCCTGGTTTGTTCCAACTCAGAGCCTTAGGGCTCTCTAGCACTCTTTTTATGCAGCCCTGAATTGGACAGAGTAGCCTATAGACATTTCTTTCTTTCTGGTTTTCCTCGTTATTGTTACTTCCAGTGCATTTTTGGAGCTTTACCGAGGTGTTTAGAGTCTGCGCTTCTCTAGGTCTTCACACACCACCATCTCAGCCAGAAGTCCCATCTGCATTTCTTGCAGTACAATCAATTTCTTTTATAATCCAGAGGAGTGACCAACCTGCACTTCACATACACAAATCAGTTATTTGGCATGGGCAGAAATGCAAGCACAGAACACTCTTTGAAAATTGATACAAAATTTCCTTTGCGCCTTGTGATAAAAAACTGGAAACTGGGAGTGTCCACAAAGCTCAGTTTGTTTAGATAGGCTGTAATCAAAGGGCACCGACTTTGTTTCCTTTTTTTTTTTTTTGCAGTGACTTACTGAGTGGAGGATATGGAGGCCCTCCCTGTCTATAGCTAACAAAATAAAATAAGACCAAACAAAAAAATGCCCCTCTTGTGTTTAACATTCCTTCCCAGCACGAGCACTTCTGCTTCTATTCTTAAAGGACTCTGCCGTACTTTTGTCTACCTCCTCATTAACCTGTTCTCACTACCATCTTCTGCATACATCTCTAAAATAAAATTTTATTTCTTGAGTTCTTTGTCAACATCCATCAACATCCATCTTTAGAAGATGTAATTGCATGAGACAGCTGGTAGCACAGTGGACAGAGCTTTGGACCTGCAGTCAGGAAGACCTGAGTTCAAATGTGACCTCAGACACTACTAGCTGTGTGACCCTGGGCAAAGCACTTAACGTCTGTATGCCTCAGTGTCCTCAGTTGTAAAATGGGGATAATAAGGGACCCCCATGTCCCAGGGTTGTTGTGAGGATCAAATGAAATGATTGAAAGGCACTTAGCACAGTTCCTGACATAGAGTAGGTGCTATATAAATACTTCTTTCCTTCTCTTTCTCCACCCTGCCACAAGGAATTTATTGATGTAATTGTAGAGGATGCTCATGAGTCAATGGCAGGGCCATAAATTAAGAATTTGGCTCCTGGAGTGAGTAGCGTAAAATATGCTTCTAAATTAACTTTTGAAAACAAATGACTTGAGATCTTTAAACGATTCCTTTTCATACTCATCAGAATTGTTTCTCCTTGTGAATTCACAACTTCACTTCTGAGTGCTTTGCCTTTCTCCTTGTTTACTTCCCAGTAGAAACAAGGTAGGTAGGTAGTGGAGTGGATAGAATGCTGGTCTTAAAGTCAGGAAGACCCGAGTTCAGATGTTGCCCTGCTGTCAACTAGCTGTGTGACCCTGGGGAAATCACTTAGATGCTTTCTGCCTCAGTTTCCTCAAATGTAAAATGGGGATAATAGCACCTACCTCCCAGAGTGGTGGTGAGGATAAAATGAGAGAATATATGTAAAGTACCTTGCAAACGTTAAAGAAATCTTTCAATGCTAGTTGTTATTATTAGAATTTTATTCCATGGGATCCTGCTTCTTTTTCCTCTGAATCCTTTGAATTGTACTCTTCTAAAATCTAGGGTATATGTCCAACTATATTGGGCTTTCCTTTGCTCCTTTATCACAAATTCTAAGGTTATCATTTCTCCCCAAGTCTTCTATCATTTCCCCCATTAGCCAAATCCTCCTTGGTCAAAATTGGATCCAGAATGGAAGTTCCCTTCATAGATACAGAATATAAACTCTTTGAGGACAGGAACTGTTTAATCACTGTCCTTGAATCCCTAGTTTCTATCTTTTCTTTCTACTTAAAAAAAATTTTTTTTCTGAACTTACACACACAAAAGCATTTTCATACAGTAGAACATGAAAAGAGGATTCTTTATGAAACTAAATCTCCATTTCATACCCCTGAAATATATATGTATAATAAATTTCACATGTTACTTTTAATATTGTACTTCCTTCTGAAATTCTTTCTGTTCTCTTTTGTATGCTTTTAAAAAATGGCACAATGCTTATCAATGATGGTGGGTGGGGAGGGAGGAAGGGAGAAAATTTGGAACCCAAAGTTTTAAAAACACATGTTTAAAAAAAAATGTTTTCACATGAAACTGGGAAATAAGAAATACAGGAAATGGGGTACAGAAATCCATCCTGCCCTGTAGGAAAATTGAAGGGGAAGAGGATAAGAGAAGAGGGGGAGAGATAAAAGGGAAGGCAGAGTAGGGGAAGGGTTATTCAGAATGCATACCATCTTGGGGTGGGGGGAGGGGCAAGATGGGGTGAAAATTTGGAACTCAAAATCTTGTGGAAGTAAATGTTGAAAACAAAAAAAAGATAAAATAATAAATTAAAAAAATAAAAATAAAAAATGGCACAATGGGACTTTTTTTAGGGCACATGACTTCTTTCCCCCCATTAACCACCCCCCCCATTAAAAATTGAAAGAGAAGAAAAAAAGCCCTTGTAACAAATCACCACAGTCAAACAAAATGAATCCACACAGTGATCATGCCTACAAATGTATGTGCACTTTGTGTCTGTCACCTCTCTGTCAAGAGGCAAGTGACACGCTTCATCACAGGTCCTCTGGAGACATAGTTGGTCATTGCGTTGATCAGAGTTCTCGATTCTTTCAAAGTTGTTTTTCTCCAGAACATTGCTGTTCTTGTATAAATTGTCCTACTTCTACTCACTTTACAATGTGCCAGTTTATACTAAGAATAGAACCAATCTCCACTATGCTGCCACCCTCCCCACCCAGGTCCTCCCTTTTTTTCTTATTTTATCTCCTTGATACCCTTGGAAGACATTAAGGATTTGGAGGGCCGCTTGCTTCCTTCAGCAACCATCAGGATGTTAATGTATTACCCTTCCAATTGCACAAACAAATGTATCTTTCTAAATTTCTCTTTAGTTTTATGTTTGTATTTCAAAGTTCCTATTCAGTTCTGGTCTTTCCATAAGAAATGCTTGAAACCTCAGTTCCATTAAAGGTTCATTTCCCCCCTGTAGGATTATACTAAGTTTTATAAGGTAAGTTATCCTTGATTATTAACCTATCTTTTTGCCTTTTGGAATATTTCATTTCAAGGTCTTTCGTTTATACTAGGAACTGCTAGGGCTTGTGTGATGATCCTCATTGTAGAGATCAAAGAAAAATGATGAGTAGAATAGTTTCAGAAAAACCTGGGAAGACTTATATGAACTGATGCATGGTGAAATGAGCAGAACCAGGAGAACATTGTACACAGTAACAGCAATATTGTACAATGATCACCTGTGAATGACTTAGCTATTCTCAGCAACGCAATGATTCAAGACAATTCCAAAGGACTTATGATAAAAAATGCTATCCACCTCCTGAGAAAGAACTGATGGAGTCTGAATATAGATTGAAGCATACTTTCTGTTTCTTTATTTTTCTTGTTTGTTTTTTGGTCTGTGTTTTCTTTTACAACATGGTAATATGGAAATAAGTGTTGCATGATTGCACATGTATAATCTATATCAAATTGCTTGCCTTCTCAAGGGGGTGGAGGGGAAGGAGAGAGGGAGAGAACTTAGAACTCAAAATTTTAAAAGACAAATATTAAAAAATAGTTTACATGTAATTGAGAAAAATTAAAAAAAAATTAAAGCACATTAACAGAAAAAAAGGAAATATATGCAATGTCCTATACCATGAACAGAGGGGGCTGGGGGTGTCTTCTCATATCTCTTCTTTGGAGCCATGCTTATTCTTTGTAATTTCTCATTTATTATTGTGTATAATATTTTCCTAGCTCTACTCTCCATCAGCTGATTTGTCTTTTCATGCCTCTTTATATTCATTATGCTCATTATTTCTTAAGGTATAATGATATTTCATTGCCTTCAGGTAAATCACAATTTTTTAGCTGTTCTCTAGTTTATAGGCATTTACTTTGTTTCTGATTCTTTGCTACCACAAAGAGTGCTACTAAATATTTTTCTGCTTATGGGGCCTTTCTTGGCCCTATAGCAAGATTAAAGGGTACAGACATTTTAATTACTTTAACCAATATGGGAAACATATACACACGTTACATTTCTATAAAAGCTTGTTTATTTGTTTTTTTCAAATTATATTTTGAATTAATTTAACACGTTCACACAACTAGAAGTGAACTATTCAGAAGTCGTCTTGCCTAATTTTTTTTGTTTGTTTGTGTGAGGCAGTTGGGGTTAAGTGACTTGCCCAGAGTCACATAGCTAGTAAGTGTTATGTGTCTGAGGTGAAATTGAACTCAGGTCCTCCTGACTCCAGGGTCAGTGCTCTATCCACTGCACCACCTAGCTGCCCCCATCTAGCCCATTTCTCACCTGAAACATGAATTCTGTCTACAATATCTTTACATTCGGCTTCTGTGGGAAAACCTCAAGTAATGGGAAACTAATGACCTCCCAAGTTAGCTCATTTTATTCTTGTACAGTTTGGAAGTTTTTCCTTACATTTGACCAAAATTTGTCTCCTATATAATCCATCTATTGTGGCTAGCTCTATACTCTGGAGCTACATACAGTGTGTTTAATCTATTTTCTGTATCATAGATCTGTAGATATTTGAAGACAGCTCTCATGTCCTCCCTCCCTAAGTCTTTTCTTCTCCAGGTTAAATATGTCCGGTTCCTTCAACCATTCATTAATCATACGGCATAGAGGAGGAGACATTCTGACACATTAGTAACTCTTTGTATTACTTGGCTTCAAATCTTGCTCTTTTTGCACTTTTCCAGCTTTTTTATATGCCCCCATCCAATTTTTTTGAGACTAAGTCTTCCTTTCTTGCCCAGGCTAGAAGTGCAGTGGCCTCTCATGGGGCCTGTCCCACTACTAATTGGCATGGAAGCCTTGGCCGGCTCTCTTTCTGACCAAGCCCGGTTCATCTCCATCCTCACCCACCTCCAGACAGTTGGGTAGATTCCCACTCCCAGGGGTTCACAATATTAGTGCCAGATTAAGTGCAAACACCTCATTGACTTTGACTCTACTGCAGCTCAGAACTCAGTAGCAGGGATTATGGACATACACCACCATGCTCAATTTGTTGCACCTCTTAATAAATGTGGCCCCAGAACTGAAGACAATAGTCCTGGTCTGCCAAGGCGTAGTACAGTAGAACTTTCATCTTCCTCACTTTGGACACTATACTTACATTAATGCAGCCTAAGGATAAGAACTATTGAATCTTCAGGTTGGAGGGGACTTCTACAACCACGTGGTCCCACTCCTACTAGTTGTATGACCTTGGGCAAGAGTCACTTCTTTGGGCTCCGGTCTGCCCTCTCTAAAATAGACATGTTGGGCTAGGTGGTCTTGAAGCCTTCTTCTATGTTATGTCATAGGGACACCTTTTGAAAGCAGTAAGGATGTTTAACCTCGATAAGAGAAGATTGAGGGGGAAGAGAGTCCATGAAAGCTATCCTCGTGTCTTCAAAGGGCTGTCATATTGTTCATTCTTTTTTTTTTTTTTTTTTTTTGCTAGGCAATGGGGTTAAGTGACTTGCCAAGGGTCACACAGCTAGTAAATGTTATGTGTCTGAGGCCAGATTTGAACTCAGGTCCTCCTGAATCCAGGGCCAGTGCTCTATCCACTGTACCACCTAGCTGCCCCTCATTCTTCATTCTTGAAGAGGACCAATGACATCACAAGGGTGATATCTTGACTTGCACATGGATTCAATATGAATGGGGCAGAGTTGCCCAAAGTCCGTAGCCTCACTCTCTCCTCCAGAGTCCGGGCTGTCATATGGAAGAATTCTTCTTGGTCTTATTCCCCTTGGCTCCAGAGGGCAGAATCAGAAGCTAAGGGTAAAACTTGGAGAGATGGAGAGTTTGGATCTGGAGGAGGAACCTCCTAGAACTGTCACAATGTTGTCTGAAGAAAGCAGGGTCCTCTTCGCTAGAGGTTTTCAAGCAGAGGCTGGATGCCTACTTGTCAGGAATGCCTTTGAGCCAATTTGTCTTCAAGTACAGGTTGGATTAGTTGACCTCTGAGTCCTTCCCAAAACTAAGATTCTGTAATTCTGCGGTGCTGGTTTTAATGCATTGAAAACTCATTATGAGTCAACCACACCACAGGGCAGCCAAAAAAGCTAACAGGATCTTAGGCTCCATGAATTGAGGGACAATGTCTAGAACAAATCTCCTGTTCCCCCATTCCCCATTCTAGTTACATCGTCCTTTACCTTGGCCAGAGCAAATCTATAAAATTATACCCAGTTCTAAATGCTACATTTTAGGAAGTAGAGGACCAAGACTGTGAGGAGATTTGCAGGCCATGCCAGGAGATAGTTGATGAAATTGGTGATGGTTACCTTAAGAAAGAGAAAACTAAGGGGGACATGATAGTGGCCTTTAAGTACAAGATTAGGTGTCAGGAGAAAGAGGGATTTGTTTGGCTCCAGATGACTGAACTTGGAGCAGAGACATAAATTTCAGTTTGATATAAAGAAAAACTTCTTAATAATTATAGCTTCTTGTCACTGGAGAGCTTCAGAAAGCTATGTGAAGATGAGATAATGGTGAAAAATGTTACCTACTTCCCGACAGGTGATGGATTTAAGATGCAGAATGAAACATACTTTTAAATTTTTCTTTTTTAGGCAGTTGGGGTTAAGTGACTTGCCCAGGGTCACACAGCTAGTAATTGTCTGAGGCTGGATTTGAACTCAAGTCCTCCTGACTCCAAGGCTGGTGTTCTATCCACTGTGCCATCTGGCTGTCCCTGAAACATACCTTTTTAGACATGACTAATGTACATATTTGTTACAATGATTTTGGGTTGTGTTTTTTTGGGGGGGTGGGAAGGGAGGGAAGAAAAAAATAAATGCTTATTAATTGAAAATTAAAAGTTCATTTTTAGGAAAGCTATGTGAAGGTGGTGATGGATAGGTTGTGTTGGAGGAACATCACAATGAATGAAATGAATTCTTTCTTTAAAAATTGGAGATGGCTGTTTACTGACAGGACATGACTTGGTTACCAGGGGCATCTTGGGGGAGGCAGAAAAAACATCTGTTAGTATTTAAAAGGCTGTCATGAGGAAGAGAGATTAGGCTTTTTTTTTTTTCCACTTGACCCCACAGGACAGAAATAGAAATAATAGGTAGACATTGCAGTTGGGCAGATTTTAGGATCAATATAAGGAAAAATTCCTAATAACTAGAGCTATCTTGAAATGGAATAATAGACTGCTTCTGGTCCATAGCGGAGTCCACCTTCTTCAAGGCCTTTATGGAAGGCCTGAATGACCACTTATCAGGTATATTAAAGAGACAATTTTTGTTCAGGTGTCAGTTGGATTAGGTAGCTACTGACATCTCTTCCAAGTTTGATGCTCCGTGTCATTCTGTGAATAAGAGGGAGAAAGACTGTTCTAATCTATACCAGGGAACAAGGTCTGGTGATTCTAGAAGTCCCAGACAATCTAGAATTCAACTTGTCCTTCTAGAACTTGTCCTCCATCTTATTCTGCCCAGTCCCTTGGTCTGGACGATTGCTTTTCCTGCTGTTCCATTCTTCCCACTCCTGTGATCATGAACAGCCTCTTCTTTAAGGTATTTCCAGAAACATTCTAGACCTGAGAGAAGCTAGTTTCTTCTGCCCAGACTATCCCAGTCCTTTCTCAGTGGCCCTGCTCTTTCTACCCATCTACCATCTATGTCCCATCTACCCCATTATCATATCCTTTCCTTGCAACCCCATCTTCTCTTTAAGTGTCCATCCTACTTGTGGGGCCCATTCTTCCTGCTATGACCCTATCCTTCCCACATGACCCTGTCCTGTATTCCATATCCCTATCTTCACCCTGTAAGCCTACCCTCATTCTGTGCCCTCCATCCTCTCTCCATGTCTTTATTCTGCCCTTTATCACATTCTCTCCTCTACAGCTCAGATCTAGTCCTTTCCCAATATTGCCCACCTCTTCTGGTGACTCTGTGTCCTCCCCATGACCTGCTTTTGTCTTTCAGTCCCCCAAGACCATCCGTATCCCTGGCAGCAGCACTGTGGGCAATGGCTTTGAGTTGTGGGACATTGGCTACTTCAGCACTGAGCGCAATCTTGCCAAGAAGCTCAAGAAAAATCCTTTTTATCCCTTCTTTCGGCAGCAGGCTAATGGTGAAGCAGGGCACTGGGAGCACTGGGGAGAGGGGAGTGAGGGGGTCCTCTTGGATATTGGAACATGAGAGTCTGGGAAGCAGAGGGAACATTGGGAAGGGCCGGATGTCAAGAGGGGACAAGAGGTGTTAATAATACTGGAGCAGGGGAAGGACAGAAAACAACTGTGATCCAGCACTCCACTTGCTCTTCCTACAGTGTATGTGTTAGAATACTACCAGGACACCTTGTGGAAGGGGATTCTGCTTTTTTTGATCTGCATTGTACTCACAAGTCTTGGGATGTTCAGGAAGGTATGAATCCCCATCTCTTCTCCATTTGCCTCCTTCCTATATAGTCTTTATATCTTCTTTTGACTCCTCCCTCGTATTCCTCTCACATTCTCACCCATCTCCTCCCCGTCTGTTCCCCGTGAAGCCCTCAGTCTATGTACCCGTTGCCCCTCATTTTGGCTCCATGACCAGCCCACCTCCTTTTCCAACCCTACAGTTTCTGGATCGGTATACTTTATGTTGCTTCTTGCCATCAAGTCAAGTCATCTTTGGCAATATGCTATTGCCTCCTGAGATGTGCCATATAATTCTCTCTGTGTTCCTTTGTGTCATTCACCAATTGTGATTTATCCCAGACTATGAAATTCCCTGATTCGTTGCCATATAGGATCATCAGAAGATAATGTGTTAAGAAGATAATAATATAGCTAGCATTTTGTATAATGCCTTAAGTTTATCTATATCTATATCTATATCTATATCACCATCTAGGCAATAAACATCTACTTAAGTTTTTCTTGGGTGTATTGTTAGGCCAATGGAGTGGCCGTGTTTATAATAGGGGAGCCTCTTGACCTAATAACATCCACAAATAGGAACGTCTAGCGGACTGTTGTCTTCAGTCGTTTCAGTCATGTCTGACCCTTTGTGACCCTATTTGGGGTTTTCTTGGCAAAAATACTGGTGTGCTTTGCTATATCCTTCTCTAGTGAATCCCTTTGTCAGGAAATCAGAAGTTAAGTGACTTGCCCAGAGTCACATAGCTAGGAAGTATCTGAGGCTGGATTTGAATTCAGGTTTTCCTGACTCGGAGCCCAGTACTCTATCCACTGAGCCACTATCTGCCTCATCTGGAAGACTAGGGAATTCTCGTATGGGATAGTCTCCAAGACAATATCAAACACCTTCTAGTAGCCAGCATTTGTTGTTTAGCTGTGTACGACTCTTACTGACCCGAAAGATATTGTCGGTGGGGTTTTCTTGGCAAAGAAAATGGAGTAGTTTGCCATTTCCTACTCCAGTGTGTTTCCATTTTGCAGATGAGGAAACTGAGACAAACAGGGGTTAAGTGACTTGCCCAGTCACACAGCTATTAAGTGTTTGAGGCTGTATTTGGACTAGGATCTCCCTAATTCCAAGCGCAGTGGTCTATCCACTGCGCTACCTATGTCTCTATTTTGTGCCTCACTTGATAATGGTAATCAGAGAATCACTGAACAAAGTTATCTCAGTGGCTGTGTCCATCAAACGATCTTGTCTGATGTTATGTGTGGGGGAAATAACATATTTGAGGAGAACCTTTAAAACTGTGCTTTGTTCTACTGAATTAAATACTTTTTTGAAAGCTATAAACCATACACACAACAAAATTAGTTTTTGATCCAAGATGTGGTCTGTTGGGAAAAATGTTCTCTAAAAACCTGACTGTTCCTTTCTTATATTTTTACCAAAGTTACCCTTGATATGTGCATAGCCCATTTCACAGAGGTTTTATAAAACTGAGAAAGTAACCACGTGGGCCAGTAGTTACTGATGTCTTCTCAGTTACCATTTTGTTTTTATTGGCAATAATATTGTCGGTAATTTTTTCCCCTACTCTGAGGCATCATCCTGGTGTGGAGATGAACTTAGGTTCTTAAAGGTCATGGGTGCAGAAGGCATTTCTAACAAGCTAGGGATTGACAGATGCATTGATAGATACCAAATGGGATCCTAGCAAGTGAATGCACATGTTTTTCAGAGATCCAGCAAAGCCAAGTACAGTGATGTATTGCCAGCAGTTTGACCAATTGGAGATTAATTCTCTGTTCATGGCAATCCATGTACCAAAGAAAAATACCAAGTATTTCCTGGTCCTGGATGGACCCCTTTCCTTTCCACAATGATGATGGCAGAGTGCTGTGAAGGGGGGCAGAGTGGGTTAAGAATGACAGTGTTTAGACCATCTATAAGGATTCATTTTAATTATTGGTGGTCTAAATGATCTTGGTCCAGTGACCATCAATTCAATAGACTGCTGGAGGGATTGAACCACATCAATGTTGACATTCTTGTTATCAATGAACTCAAAAAGACATAAAGAAGTTATATAACCTAGACCATTTCCTTCAAGAAGAGAATCATAAGGTGCCAGAATCTCTCTCTCTCTCTCTCTCTCTCTCTCTCTCTCTCTCTC